ACACCGGCCAGGCAGAGTGCTGGGCTCAGAGCAAGCAGAGAGGGATGAGAAGGTACTGGGAGGACAAAACAGTGATTTTGAGTATCGGCCTCATATTTTTACCATATGACAACCCTGCTCACACCGAATCCAGACATTGAGATAAGCACCTGAGCTGAAGATTCCCGCCCCAAGTTCCCACTTTGCTTTTTTCAGGGCACCTTTTACAAACACCAGAGGTGAGCCCACGAAAAGTTAGTGACCTCCACTCCTAGCATCTTATAAGTAATAGGCACATCTACCTTGCTACCTCCATTGGGTAACCGAGAGCCATCCAAATCCTTTTTTAAAAAATATATTTTATTGATTTTTTTACAGAGAGAAAGGGAGAGGGATAGAGAGTTAGAAACATCAATGAGAATCATTGATCAGCTGCCTCCTGCACACCCCCTACTAGGGATGTGCCTGCAGCCAAGGTACATGCCCTTGACCGGAATTGAACCTGGGACCTTTCAGTCTGCAGGCCGACGCTCTATCCACTGAGCCAAACCGGTTTCAGCAGCCATCCAAATCTTAAGCTAGGGAATAGCATACCTTTTACTTTAAAAAACAAACAAACAAACAAATGCAATATGAGGGTAGATTAAAAAAGAAAGACCTGGAGGCTGGGGGAGTAGTTAGGAAGTTGTTGGGCTGGAAAGTGGCTATGTGATCAAAGAAACATTCAGGAAGTGGATGAACCAGACTTGTTGACGGGGGGAACATGGGAGAAAAAGAGGAGCAAAGATGGTGTCCAAGCCCCCTAGCTCAGCCGGGTGGGCTAATGTCCCAGGGACGGCTGAGACTGCATGGGGCGAGTATAACAAGAGGGCTGAGTCAGAACCTGGGGAACCCACAGTGTGAGGCTGGACACAGGCAGAGGAGCCAACACAGGAGGCCAAGAACCAGGGTCAGGTAAGAGGGAGAAAACCGAGGGGGATGAGGCATCACTGAGCACGTAGATTTGGAAAATGGATCGGAACCAAGAATCACAAATCAAAGAGGTCATGGGAAGGAGTGAAATGTTTCTGCTGGATTTAGCGGTCAAGTGCCTTGTAGTGAAATGATGAAGACAGAAGTCCAGTCACGTGGCTTAAAGTGGAGATGCCAATGTGTATCTTCCTGTGGCAGCTGGAGATGGCTTTGGGCATGTGGCACCGTACCCTGTGAGCAGGAAGACCTAGGGGTGTCGAACTCAATCAGAGAAGGGGCCAAAATCTAAAATCCAGCCTAAATCGTGGGCCGAATGGTTTACTGAACAGTCATAAACTGTCATTGTGATGGAAACGCAGCGGAGTGCAGTGATGACAGCGCAGTGCGGGCCACATTGCAAGGCCTGGCGGGACGGATTTGGCCCGAGGGCCTTGTGTTTGACACATGTGATAGCTCAGGCTGTGCTCCATAGCTTCCTATTGATCTTCTTGGGCTAAACATGTGCCCTCGCCCAGCCTAAACACAGGGGACCCTAAAAGCCAAGGCCCTTTAAAAGACTTAAAATCTGCCTAAGTCAAAGCCATACATATACATACATACCGTACATATATATATATATATATATATATATATATATATATCCTGTTTCCCCGAAAACAAGACAGTCTTATATTAATTTTTTCTCCCAAAGTTGCACTAGGTCTTATTTTTGGAGGATGTCTTATTTTGGGGGAAACACGGTATGTGTATATATATATATATATATATATATACACACACACACACACACACACACATTATTGATTTTTTTACAGAGAGGAAGGGAGAGGGATAGAGTAAGAAACATCATTGAGAAACACAGATCAGCTGCCTCCTGCACACCCCCACTGGGGATGTGCCCGCAACCAAGGTACATGCCCGTGATTGGAATCGAACCCGGGACCCTTCAGTCCTCAGGCTTACGCTCTATCCACCGAGGCAAACCGGTTAGGGCCAAAGCCACTTTTTAAAGTTTTAAATAGTTGAAGGAGAAAAATTTGTATGTGCAAGATTCTTCCTTTGAGACTCAAGAGTACTCTTAAAATTAGTCAAACTGTAACAACTGATAATAGAGCTGGTCATTTTGAAACAAGTTTTTAGTTTTTATTAGCCTAATGCAAAATTATTTCTTACACCTACGCCTCAAACATTTCATACGTTAGCTGGGGTCAGGTGCACAAATTCAACTTTAAAGGAATTAAAATTTTATTTGAAAATTAACATTTGAAATATATTCAACAGTATGATGTTTCATTTAGCTTGACTAGCAGAATCTTTTTTCAGAATTAGTGCTTACATTTTGGCATTTGTTTTATTAATTTTCTGGCTTTGACTAAAAAGTGAAGTGAGTTTTCTGGCCCTGGCTCAGTTAGTTAGAGCATCATCCTGACACCCCAAGTTTGTGGGTTCGATTTCCTGTCAGGGCACATACAAGCAATGAATGCATAAGTGAACAAATCAATGTTTCTCTCTAAAGTCTGTATTTAGCCAAAACCGGTTTGACTCAGTGGATAGAACATCGGCCTGCAGACTGAGGGCATGTACCTTAGTTGCGGGCACATCCCCAGTAGGGAGTGTGCAGGAGGTAGCTGGTCAATGTTTCTAGCTCTCTATCCCTCTCCCTTCCTCTGTGTAAAAAAATCAGTAAAATATATTTTTAAAAAATTAAGTGTGTATTTAAAAAACAGCTTTTAAAAAGGGTGAAGTTAGTTTTCTAAGTAATGGACTCGTCATATTCATGCAGGAAAATTAAGCCTAAGAAATATGAAATTAAAATGAATGTTAGATAAAGGAAATGAACTGCCTAGTGGTCAGTTAGCTGAATGCTACTTAAAGGGAAGGTTTTGCAGGTGAGCACGCAGTGGACAAGCAGATGCCACCGGGCCTATGACCAGGGCAAGCACCCCAATCTGTTCCAGCAGGGTGAATCCGGAGTCCCTGTGCCCTCCAATTCACCCTCTAGCGGTCCTTCGTGATCAGATCCTTTTGTTGGGAGAAAAGGCTGGCGCTCAAGGTCAGCAGATTCATATGCGGCGGTGCACGACCAGGCAAGCTGTGAGGCTTCCTGCTGGGGGCGACCGGGAGAGCCCCTAGGAGCCAGGCATCACCATCACCGGCGCCTGTGCGCCCATGACCCGGCGACGCCCACCCGGCTCCCCAGCCGGCTCCTGCGCCCGCTCCTCCATTGGGGAGCCGAGCTCCGAGGGGGTGTGGAGGCGCCACGACACGCGCGGGGCGGGGGCGGGGCGAGCGTCCGCGGCGAGCCTCCGGGTGCGCGCGTCTCTGCCGCGCGGGGACTCGCCGGGCCCGCCCGCCCGCCCGCGCCGCATCCCCGCGATGCGCGCCCCTCCCGCCGCCGGGAGTCTGCCTCGGGCTGGGCGAGAGCGCGGAGCGGGAGGAAGGCGGGCGCCGGGAGGACGCTGGCGGCGGTAGGAGGCGGACGCGGGCGGCCCCGGTACAAGAAGCCGGGCGTGGGGGGACCCGGGCGGCGCAGCGCTGTCCTCCCTCCGGCCCGACTCCGCCCCGCCCCCGGCGCCGCGCACCTCCCTCGCCCCGCCCCCGACGCCCGGCGGCCAATCAGGGCCCCGCGCACGTGACGAGCGCTGCCTGCGATGACCTCATCCCTGGTGTGGGATGACGTCAAATTCAAGATGGATGGAATCACAGCGGCAGCGGCGGCTGCGGCGCGCGCGAGCCGAGTGTGAGCGGAAAGGGACCCGGCGCCTGCCTCCGGGCTGAAGGCCGGTGAGTAACTGTCACGCCCCTCGCCCTAGGAGAACTGCGGGGCCCCGCGGAAGGCCACAGCCTCCCCGCAAAACGCGGCCTTTCCTGACGTAACTCTGAGGTGATTTCTCTCCTGTTTTTTCTCTCCTGTGGGTTGCGGGCTTTGGGCGCTTCTGCGCGTGCGCCGGCCCCCGGCCCTCACCGAGCATGCCCCGGGCTCCCACGTAGCCTATTGTGCCTTCACACTGCGCATGCTCCTTTCCCGCACTTGGCCTCGCCCTCGCCACTGCGCATGCTCGGTCCCTCACTGGGCTTCCCTCGCCGGCCAGGTGGCCCTGGGGGCGGCCGCGCCGGGCCTCGGAGAAGCCGCCGCGCCGAACGGTTGGGGCCGCCTTCCCGTCAGGGGCGCGCGCTCCCGTCCGGCGCAGTGGCGGCGGCGGCGGCGGCCCCTGGCCGGGGTTTGCCGAGGGGCGCGCGAGCGAGCGTGCGCGGAAGCTGGAGGGTCCGGGGGACCCCGCACCTGCCACGGCCTCCGCCCCTTCCCGCCGCCCCCTCGGGCCCCGCCGGCGTCCCCGACCTGGAACCCGGGTCCACTTTGCTGTGGGCGCCCTGCCGCCTGGCCGGGCCTCCGCCCCACGCCGGGACCCCGGAGCGCACTCCTTTCCCCGCCAGGCCCTGGGGGAGACCCGTCTCTGCTCCCGCCGCCCGCCGCGGAGCACAGCCCCTCTCGCTGGGGAACCCCGGCTGCAGGCTGCGGCCTGCGGCGGGGAGGGGGCGGGGCGGGCCGTTTCAGACCCGCGGCGCCGGAGACCCCGGCCCCCGTCATCTTGTGATGGGTTCTCCCACCGCCCGGACCACTCCTCCGGAACATTCTGTAGCTCGCTGCAGAGGATCGTGCCTTTGACTGTAGGAGGGAGCCCCTCTGTCCGAGCCCGTAACCCCAGGGCCGTCTGCAGCGGCGCGTTCGGAGGTGGGGTGTTTGGAGGCAGGTTTTGCGGCGGGGTGCCTGGCCGTGGGGGATGGGGCAGATATTCATCAGACCCCGCACGGCGCCGCAGCCAGGGGTTTTCCGTGCAAGAGCCAGCACCGGCATCGGAGGGCATCATCAGCGGGTTACAGCATAGTCCAGCGATTGTTGAGCATGATGACCCTGAGTCATCCATTGGAGCCTGCGTGGGATTCTGCTTGCCTCGTTTAAGAGGACAGGAACATGGGTTCATCCGTTTCAGGAAGATTTCTCCGTGACAGTTATTTTTAATTTTTTTTTTTTTTTTTTTTTTTTTTTTTTTTTTGCCTCCACGTTTGGAGCAAATTCCTCATTCATATGTAATGACTAATGTAGTCCTCTACATTTAAATTTAAGTATCCCTAAATATTAATGATAAAAAGAGAGTAGAAATTTGGGGCTTTTTGGCTTACTTAAAAGTAACTTTAATTCATTCTTTTTAACACTATTTAGTGAATATATATACAGTGTGCTTCATTCTGTGGAATATAAGATGAAAGAGTTACAACCCCTGCCCTCGAAGAATTTACCGTGTTTATGCAGGGGGTGTTAGGTGTGTAACAAAAAAGGGGCTGAGTTTCTGAGGGAGTCTCTGGGTGAAGAGGTCACTGAAGGGGCAATTTTAGATGTCCCCAAAGCCAGTGGGGATGGGAGAGCAGATCTTGGGCTGCTTATGCACGAGGCCTGACAGGTCGTGGGGACCAGCTAGAAAGGAAAGGGAAGAGGTTTCTGGTGTAGGAGACCTGTTGGTTGTCAGCACACCAAACTAAATAGGAAATACGTGAAGACAAGCAGCAATGGGGTTAGGGGCGAGAAGGTGTGGATCATACCTGCAGTCCTGGACATGTGGGATTTCCTGTGATGGAAGTCTTCATTGGGCACCTGAGAGGCTGGAGGTCCTCGGAGAAGTCCAAGCAGAGATTCGGATTTCAGAGTCACTGTTCATTGGTAAATGAAAGCCACAGGAACTCATACACAAAGCAGAGAAAGCTGCCACGTGCTGAGCTCTATAGCAGATGCTGGAGCAATAAAGGTGAGCAAGTCCAGGTCTTGAGCCTTTAGTGCGATAATTTCTCTCTTTCCCCAATAGATTCCTGCCAGGCATTGTGCTAATCATTAGGGAAACACAGGTGGAAACAAGGGTTCTCCCTTTTAGGGACTCTCATGAAGGTTGTCACTCAAAATAGTTGTATTATTGCAAAGAGAGAGTAAGTATGGTAGTTCAGATGACTAAGCTACTGGATGGGGCAAATTGCTAAAGCTTTATAGAACGGTGGCATTTGAGCAGGGTCTTTCTGTAGAAGTTGGCTAGTAAAAAAAAAAATGCTAAGAAGTATATTTTGGATGGCAGAAACCAGGTGTGCAAGTTTGTAGGGTAGATGGGAAGAAGTGCCCAATAAGCCAATAAGGGTGGAGAAATTAATTGCAACCAGAGTATAAAGAGTCCTATATGTCAGTCCAGCATTTGGACTTTATCTACGAAGTAATAGGAAAATTATATAAGATATTCTAAAGCAGGGCAGTGAAGGGACCAGCTTTATGTTAGGAAATAAAAAAGCTTAATCTCCAATCCTGCACTTAATTGGAATGTCAGAGAACTGGGGGGAAAAAACACAAATATTGTTTTGCACGATACTATGTTGAGCATTGTGAAGAGTGTCAAAAGATATTAAATAGATTCTCAGTCCTTAAGTAGCTTACAGTTATGTTGGGGACACAGATGACTAACAATATACGGCACTGAATAAACACTGCACCAGTGATGCTACTGTAATACAGGAGTTGAAAGTGTTTGCTCATTATAGACTGAAGTAGTCAAGGAAGGTGAATTAATTCGTTTTCTAGGGCTTCCATGACAAAGTACCACACACTGATAGCTTAAACAATAGGAACTTATTTTCTCACAGCCTGGAGCCTGGAAGTCCAAAATTAAGGTATAGGCAGGGTTGGTTTCTCCTGAAGTCTCTCTCTCGCATGTGGATGACCATCTTCTCTGTCTTCACATCATTGAACCTCTGTGTCCTCTTGTAATAAGTCTGGTTGGAGTAGGGCCCAAAGACCTCTTTTTAACGTAATTACCCCTTTAAAGACCTTACCTCCAAGTGCACGTACGTACGTTCTGAGGTATTGGGGCAGAACTCCAGCATACGGTTGGGGGAAGAGGGGCTGGTCACACAATCCAGCCCTTGGCAGAAGGCTTCATTGGAACTTGAGCAGAGCTTTGGAAGATGATGTTGAGCTGCGTGGAGTGCTGGGGAGGGAGGGGGCTGGAGATGAGGTATAGAACATTACCCAGTGGGGAATAGAAGCAGCAGGATGTGCAGGTTGTGTCTCAGAGATGAAGTGTTTGAAGCAGGAAGTTATCACAAGGATATCTAAGGGGGTTGGGGGGTGGGGTGGAATCTAAAAACTAGCTTGAAACCAAATTTATAGAACCTTGGAGCATTTGCAATTTAGCCTAATGGAGAACCATTGTTTTTGTTATTTTGTTTTTAAACAAAGTCAAGTCTGGCTCTTTTCCCTCAGGTCTTATGTCTCAGCTCAGCTGTCACACCAAGGCATTTCCTTGCCCTCCTCTCCAAACCGCTAGTTACTCTACTCACAGCACCCTCTTTCTTTCTTTATAACACTTAGCACGTCTGAACTCATCTCTTTTGTTTCCTTGTTTATCCTCTGATTTCCCTCACTAGAAACTAGGAGCCTTATCTGTTTTTGTGCAACCCTGTATTCCCAGTCTATCTTACCATCTAATAGGAGCTCAATCAGAGTGGATTAATAATGCTGATACTTAATGTGTTCAGTCAATGAACACTCAAAGCTTTGTTTTGGAAAGCTCAGCCCAGCCGCAGTTTATCCATGCATTTGGAAGGGATGACAGGAAGAAGGAATACCACATATAATAGAAATATGTTAATTAGCATCATTTAATAACAAGAACGGGGGAAAATGGTTGATTGGGTTGAATAGAAAAAGAAGTATAAAGATACAGGGTTGCTCTTGAGGTTCAAGGAGAAGCTAAAGAATTGGACGGGAAGATAAAAACCACAGTATGTAGCTGCAGGAATCTGGGTAGCCAGCCCTTGGCAGCCTGCACTTCCAGACCACAGTGAATAAATCCACTTCCATCATTTACTGCCTTTGTCGTCGTTCTCAGGCCAGGTTCCCGAGAGAACGTTTCTCATCAGCGTGGCTTTGGTCCTGTTCTTACTCCTGAGCCAGGGAGAACAGGCATCAGACTGTACTCAAGAGGACGAGGACAGTTCTTCCAAAGCCAAACCAAGGGGCTTCTTGCGGCAGGAGGAGGAGTGGCTGCTGAGCGGCCAAGACCAGGCTCCACTCACCCTGAGCTGAGTTACAGTAGAGCCATTCAGCTGGAGGTGCAGAGAACACACCTTTCATCAGAATTACACCTTCTCCAGAGACTGAAAATGTGGAGATGTGATCCAGGGGAGTGACTGACTACTCTCTTGAAGGATCAGATAAGCAAGACTGGCTTTGAAATCTGAGGAGCTTCAGTTAGTTTCTGGATGTCTATATTGTCCCAGAGTGAGTGTCAGATATAGGTACACTGTTTCTCTGTGTGTTTGCTTTTTGTTACATGCATTCCCTCTTTTTTTTTTTTTTTTTTTTTTTCCAGTGTCATTTTTAGGACTATGTAAGCAGTCCCCAACATTCCAAAGGATTCTGTGCTAAGAGTTCAGTTCTAGGTTAGATTGTAAATATAAAGAGACATTTTCCTGTAAGTCTGGTAGTAAGGGTTTTGGGCGCTAGTCTTGGAGCCAATTTGATCTATAATGTACTTTAGCTCTAATGCCAGCCTGAGTTTTAGTCTCCAAAACTTGAAAGTTAGTGAGGTTATTTTGGTCCCTTCCCATCTTCCTTTCTGAGCCCCTTACTCATCTCCAAGTGTCTTTCTGTCCAAGTGCGTATGTGCTTCCCCTTTTTCTGTTTCAATCCCCAGAATGCTATGTATTCCAAAAGGGCCTGCCTTCCACCCATCCCCTTAAAAATCTTAACTCTGCAACTCCTCTAACTTTGGTATAAAGAGGGAATTCTTTTCATTGAAATAAATTATATTAAAATAGAGGAATTTGAGGTGATTATATTCTTGGAATCCAGTTATGAAGGGCATTGGGTCAGGGCAAGCCTTTGGGAGTTTTGATCCTGATAGGATCAAATGAGTGTTTCTGAAAAGTACCTGTAGTAGAAAACCTGTATTAATAATCAAAAGAGTGTTATTAATAGTCAAGTGAGCTGTGAGTCCCAAACCTTCCTGATGTCTCCCGTTCACTCATCCACCCTCCCACCCCTGGCCCAATTAACTGCTTCCTGAAGTCAGTATTATTACACACTTCTTGTGTCCTTCATCATGCATGTCCTACAACAGGAATGTGTGCTACTGGGCAGCAGGCAGCTGGCCAGCTCATTCATCTGCCATCACCAGCACCTCTTGTGATACATAACATGTAGCAGGCCCACATAAACATTCAGGGATGGAAGGAAATAAAGTATGTGCTTGCCATATCGGAAACACTGTATATACTAGAAACTTTCAAACACACTGTGTCTTTGATTCGTCATGAAAATCCTTTGTGGTGGGTAATGTTAGCCCCACTCATCAGGTTAAGAAAACTACTAGTACTTAGAAAGGTCGAGTGGTCTTAACAAGGTTACATATCTAGTAAGTGGCAATGCCAGGATTTCAGGCAAATACACAGATTTGGAAGTCTTTCCATGACTTGTTAACCATAAAGATTTTCTCATTTGGAAGTTTTAGGAAACAGCATGAAATAGAAACAATTCAGGCAGAGTTTTGAAGACAATTTGTATGGGGGCCCAAGTGGTAAGCAAGCCAGCCCTGCTTCAGAATCTGGTTTTCCTGGGGGGTTTCCTCCAAGCTTTTTCTGCCACTCATAAAGGGGACTTTTCTTCCCATTTCACCCACTTTCTTTTAAGAGTGCAGAGGTTTTTCTACCATGACTGGTGGCAGGCGCACCTACACTGATGAGTCAGGTAGAGATGGGCAAAGGAAAAGGTACAGGATGTGGATACAGTGGCAGTGTGTGCAGAGAGCTTTTAAACTTGTGATGCACTGTCTTCTAGAAGTCAGAGGCTGATTATTCATAATTAAAACATGCGTGAGAAACGGAGTATGAAAGCCAGCAGATTTATGGAAGAGAAAGTACATCCAGTAACAAAGCTGGCCTCGTCTGAGGGCGGAAGAGCAGAAAAGGCAGTGGGTGTTGAGAAACAGTCTGCACATCCACCAGCCACAGAGGGTTTTGCTGGATTACTTCATGACATTTTGCAGTGTGGGGTTTTCCCCCTTTTGCCTGCATTTTTAACATAGCATTTTATAATTTTAGTTGTTAAGCTCCATTAAAACACAGAAGTTCAAAATGTTACTTGTTTTGCGAGCTCTACCAGGAAAGGAGCCACTGTTTTTCAGTTTCAGTAATTTAATTAAAAGGTAATTGAATTAAAAGATAAAAGCAAAGGCCTCAACCTAAAGGTGAGGAGTCTGCCCTGCCCTGTGCTCTCTGTCCTGTTGCTCCAGGCATCTAGTGTTGGGCTCCTGAGAGGTGGAAGAGGTCACACTCGTCTTATAGTCCTCAAATGTAGCCCCCGGGGCCTCAGACCTCTGTCCTCTTTCCAGCCTCATCACCTGCCTTCCCCTCTGTGTGTCCTTTGCTCCGGCCCGCCACTGTGTCTTGTCCCTGTGATGTTGGACATACTGCTACTGTCCTTGAAGTGTCCTTCTCCCTTCCTTCCTGACTCCTTCATGCTCTTTTTTTTTTTTTCTTTTTTTGCAGTTAATCCTCACCTGAGAATATTTTTTTCCATTGATTTTTAGGGTTGAGGAAAAGAGGGTGGGAGGAGAGGGATAGGCAGGCAAGAGAGAGAATCATAGATGTGAGACACATGGATTGGTTACCTCCCCCATGCACCCTAACTGGGACCAGGGAACAAACCTCCAACCAAGATACATACCTGTCATCAGAAATAAAAGCTGAGATCCTTCGGTGCAAGGGC